GTGTTTCAGAAATGAATTTAATCCTAGATTTGGGCATTCCCGATCTCCTGAAGCCTGGATCTGCTACATAACTTCAGGATACTTTCAGCCTCCTTCCCTCCTGTTAGCCAAAAGGAACTTTTTCTCCCAGAGGATGCCAAGCATTCACCTCTTGAACCAAGATGCTTGGCCTTCTTTCCTCCCTCTGGATAAGGGGAAGAACCTTTTGGAAGGTGAGTGTTGTCTTATCCCACCAAAACCACCAACCTCCTCTCCCCTCCTTACTAAGGAGTCAGAGAGCTGCTTTTGGGTGAAAGAAGAGCCAAAGTGAAATATGGTCATTATTACAACTGAGTGATGTGCTTACAGAAGACATTCTTAATGAACTCTTTGGTGGTACCTAAGAAAATATGAAGTGGACTCATGCTAGCTGTGTGCAGTCCAGCCACTGAGAGGCTTGCTAGAAAGCCTCTCAGCAATGAACCATTTGGTGAGTCTTGGCTCTCTTTGCTCAAGGTGGAGCAGAAGCTCCTTGGTTGGACAGCTAGAAGAAGAGCTTGCATGGGGAAGGGGAGGGAGTTGTGTCTGCAGCACTGTTACTGGCATTTTTGGCAATAGGTTGGGTGCCTCGTGCCCTGGGACTTAAGGTCAGATCAAGTGCTGTGCTGCACGCAACTAAGATCCCTATCTCTTCTCTTCCAGTGGCAACTACCAGATATTGTATAGGAAAATTCCGCATCTTAGATATGGTGTGGGGTTCCTTGCTAAGTACATAGTGGTGAAGTTTTGTCTGGATCGTGGAGGCTTGCACTGGGCATGCCTATCCCAGCTAAAGGAGCTACAGCTGTACCTCTCTCCCCCTTCTTGGGGAAGAGACCTCCGTGCCCTCCCTCTATCACCCTTCACCCACCATTTTCTGGTGGGCAAAGCCTAGTGCTGCTAAATCAACTGAACAAGCAGGTGTGACTGTGTCCTTGCAAAACTAGACCATGTTTGGCCTCTGCATGAGGAAAAGCTGCAGAGGATTTCAGATTTTTCCATTGCTGTGGGAGGGCAATAAATACACCCTCCAGCACGACATCAATAGCAAGCTGCGGTGATTGCCAAGTGAGATGACACCTCTGATGACTGCCCTGGTTATTTGAACAGCAATGCCTCTGATATTTAGTATCTAATCCCCAGTGGAAAATTCCCTCTGTCCTTAGTGGGATTTGTCAGCCTGGTTTACATGATGGACTGGAGGAAGGCAGAAAGGGTTTGCGTTTTGCTGCTCCAGACGAGTAAGCTTTGATGTTGGGATTTCCTTCACAGTTTCAGACCCACCAGTCCCAGGATTTCTCTACTACTCACTAGCACCGAGATTGTACCTGAAGTGCCGTTGTAGTCCCCGATTCGCAGCTTGTACAGGCTGCGGGAGTCGCCAATGGAGAACTTGTCGTAGTAGGCGTACGCTGCTTCCTGGCCATCCCTCATGTCTATTCGCAACTCATAGCGCCCCTGGGACGTGATCTTGTGGATGTTGTCCAAGCCTGGCAAGACAAGCAGCAAGACACCTGGTGAGACCCAGTGCCTGGATCTGCTCCGTGAGCAAACAAAAAAGCTCTAGGCAAACAAAATGTCTGTGGGAAATGAGAGTGAGGAGAGGAACCAGAGAGCAAGAGCACTTCTGGTTAAGTCTTTGTCTCTCCTGGCACTGGTGGGGTCTGAGCTCTCTGTCCCCACTCAAGCTTCACTTCCCCATGGCTATGAGAGGTGGGCTCAAGCCCCAGGTTCAGCTTTCTCCATGCTGCTGAAGCTGGGGATGATCAGCTGGGGAGCCCTGGTGCTTCTTGTGTTGCACACACGTCTTTTAAACTGTTAAGCTCCTGTACAAGCCAGAGTGTGTTTATGCTGCAGGGCTGGCGTTGGCTCGTGTTAAGGTTTTGGGGGAGAATGGTCCATTTCAGAGCCATGCTGGGTCTCCTGCTCACCCCTTTCCTACTTTCTTTGGGCACCTGGCTTGCTGGCCAAGGCTAGGTGAGGTCTATGAGTCGTAGATGCCACCAATGCAACCTATAGTCATTCAAAGGAGGATGATGAGTTTTGGTCCATGAAGACCCCCAGCATACCCCCTTCTCTCCTAGGAGGAACAAATTAGGGAGCTGATGGCCTTTGCAATGTGCTTTTATGTGGTGTGCCCATGAGTGACTTTCTAACATGCAGGAGATGAACAGCGGAAGGAAAGCAGTCCGAGGGAGAGTGTAGAGGAGTGGGGTGAGAGGCGAGGAGCCAACAGCTGGCAAGGGCAAGCAGCACGGTACACATGGAGCTCAGGTTTGACGTATCAATGAAAGACAACTGGTGAAGGTCTTACCCAGCCAAAACTCATCCTCCAAGTTTCCGAAGCCCACCCGGTAATCTGCCCATTTCCGGAAGAAATCGGTCAGCCCGTTCTGCCGCCTCTGGAAGACCTGTGGTGGGGGAAGACCAGGAGGAAAATCAGTGTGAAAGAGAAGACAGCCAGCCTCGCTGGGCTTTGGGGCACATGAAATAAAGACAATACTTTGTCCTTCTGTCATGCATCATGCCTTTTGGGGCAGAAAATTGCAATATCCATACGGTTATTGTTAGTTGCAGCCATGTGCAGATGGAGAAACTGAAGAGATGTTAGGTGATGTCCAAGGGAAATTAATGTTATAATAGGGAGGAATCGGCCTTCAAGCTTTCCGCTCTACCTGATGCGTGGTGCCTCTGGTTTTCTAGCATGGGATTCTGCTTTTGTCTGGCTCTTTTTGTGATAGCCAAGGAGATGCTTTGAAGCAGAGTGAGATGGAGGGAAATTTCCTGGCTAAAATAACATCTCTGCTAGAAATCAGCATTTGAAGAAGCCCATTTTTTTTTTTTTGTTTCGACTATACATCTAGCGGAGTTTTGTGTAATGTGTGTAAGTAAGTGTTTGACATGAATAAAATCAAAGCACCAGAGCATTATTTACTTAAGCTGTCAGTCCATCTATGTCAAGACAAGTAGTGTTTGTGCAATTCAAAAGCCAAACAGGCATTTGCCTCTAAAATGCTCCTGTGCAGACTCAGTTGGGGTGATGCCTGACACCCTCCTACTGCAGGCAGTGTGAATCATTCCCCATGAAAGCTATTGGCCATTAATTTCATTTCTAGAACAATAAATCAGCTTCGCTCTCAGATTTTGCTCTCCAGAAGCACTGCAAACATGTCAAATAAATCAAAGGGCATTTCTTCAAGAGTAACTATTATTACTGGAGTGTGGGCTATTCCCTATGGCGTGAGAAATGAAGCGTGTGATATTAAGCCTGCTGTTGTTCCCACGCAGTGTGGTGCTTGGCTTTGCTGGTAGGATGTGGCTTGGTTACTTTGTGATGGGGACAACGCATAGGACAGCTGCACGGCTACTCACAATCCAGCCGCCTCCGTCGGTGGTCATGTCACAGTACACCTGCACTCGCTGGCTGAGGTCCCCGTTGATGGAGATGGTGTAGACGCCGCTCAGCGTGTCTCCGTTCATCAGGTGCTGGGCGCAGTCCTGAGGGTTAGCAAAGACACGGCCGCCTGAGAAATTAAAAAAAAAAAAAAAAAAAAAAAATTTAAGCATTTGAGCCATTCCACATGCCTCAGGCCCTACTGGTTGTGATCCAGGAGAGGTCTAACTTGGCTTCTGCATCCCGAGTCATCCTGCAAGGCGGTGGAACTCTGCATCTGCCAACAACATCAGAGGGTTTAATGGAAAAAAACGTGTGTGCATATATTAATTAATTTCCCATACGTCCTATATTGGAAAGGTGCATGGTAACATCACTATGAATGATGAGGCATGTCACTTCTTGGACCGTCTTTCTGCACTGTGTATGAAACCCTGGGGTTTAAGCTGTCACCAGCATATTTAGACAGCTGTGAAAATACCAAAACCTGTTCTCCTCTCAGGATTGCCAGCTTCAAACAAGGTTTATGACTTTACTGATTCCAGGGGGATTCTCCTGATCCATGCCCTTGGAAATGATGGTGGACTTATGCTGGGCTGACTGTCACTTGGAAACTGAGCAGGAATTAGGCCATGAGAGATGCTAGAGATGGGCAGCGTGGGCTGTGTGGCTGTGCTTCAGGTGTCCTCTAATGAAGAAACATCTCATCTGGGGGTCAGAGTTTAAGAGAGTCTTAACTATGAGACTCCAGAAGTATTGGGATGTCAACTCTCGGTTCAATTTTTTCTCATATAAGGCAAAAAGGGGAAATACATCTTTTTCTTTGCTGTTGGTGTGTATGGATGATGGAGTAAATGAGTGCAGAGCTGGCGATGTGGATGTGGCTTTCAAGGGTGTCTCGGTTACACATTGAGAAGGTGTGAAGGACGTGCTGAGTGCATCCGTCACAACTGCATGATACCCCGAAGAACCAGGGTACAGACCCTTGTCTGTTATTTCCCAGTTGGGTGTATTCCCCCCACCCTTGCGACCTAAAGACTCGGAGGTCATTACTTTGTCCAAATGTTGAAGATCCCCTATTTTTTCCCATCTCCGTAGTCTGTAGCGCAAAGTCCGGTGAGACAGTGTTTGTATTTTATGGTATCCAACAGTGAAAACTGCTTCAAAGACAACCACTTCAGGCTCCCCTGAGCTCTGCGGAGATTACTTGTTTCTTAATTTATATTCATATCTTTAAGAGCCAAGGAGACCTTGAAAGACATTTCAAACCACTATAAATTATAAATACTGTATCTGTTTCTTCCTTTTGTACCATCAGTATACAATTCCCCAAGAACCTTATGCAAACATGAAACAAAGAGGCCGAACTATTAATATGTCAGAGGGAATGGAAGAACCCTGGGATGTATACTGTTAGCAGAAGGAAGCAAAACAATTTAAATTAAGCCTGGGGTTTTTTTATTTTCTTTTTTTTTTGTTTCCTTCAAGACAAGTCCTTGTTCTCTGCAAAGTGGCCCGATACGCTGCCAGTGAATTGAATCCCAGGCCCCGATTCTTTGCTAAGGGATGCTGCGTTTTTGATTGCATTGCCTCAATGTTTGTTCCTCGGTGCTTTCGTCTTATCGATATTTGGGGTAAGTGGGGAGAAGCTGGTTTCTTGCTGATGCCTATCTTCATCTTAACAGCAAATGAAACCTGTGTTCAGATGCTGCATCAGCTGGCAATGGTGTCTCTAACATTGCTGAGGTTTGACATTTGCGTTTAATGGAAACAGTGCTCTCCTTACCTGACATGAGTGGGTTTCTGCTGATTTATCCCATCTGAGAAGCCAGCCCCATGCAGTTTTGTCCCTGACTCCCGAACAGCCTCAAAGATTACACACATTTTTCCATCACCTGCCTGAATTGCACTGGCTTTATGTGCCCGCATAAGAGGCGAGAATAACAGGAAAGCCTGATCTGTAGATGCATTAGAGAAGAGTATTCTCTGTTTTTGTTGATGTAAATAGTTTCTATTATCTCTTAAAAGCAGATGAAGGGACTTTTGCATGTAAACGGGATGGGGAAGTATATCCACAACAGATTCAAAGAAAACTCTCCTAATCGAACTGGCAGTGCAGATGGGAGGAATTTCGGCAGACATCATCTTCAGGCTTCTTAGTGCTTTTGAAGCCCAGGAGAAATGTAATTGGATTCAGCCCTGAACAAAACACGCTCTGTCTCTTAAGTGCTCTGGGCTAGCAAGGCTTTTCAAAGAGGGTGAGAAACTATGTACTTTGCACAGTTTCTGATGTGAATGGTTGCAAAGGGTGGGGACAATGGTGACATTTTCAAGCAAGCTTCATTCTTGCAAGTGTAAGCATTCCATCTGTGAGGGTTATGGTGGCCGTGGGTGCCCACCATTTGATTTGGAAAGGAAACCATTCCCATTGCCTTAGTGGATCGTGACTTCTCTAGAATTAGAGGGAGGAGGAGTAATGCAATTAGATAAAATCAGTGGGACCACAGTCCTGCAGGTATGCTGACTCTGCTGTCTGTGACTCTACTGATGGTCGTGGAGATGCACCTGCTTGATATTTCCAGGGATGCCCCATCCCTGGAAACATCCAAGGTCAGGTTGGATGGGGCTCTGAGCAACCTGATCTAGTTGAAGATGTCCCTGCTCATTGCAGGGGGTTGGACTAGATGACCCTTAAAGATCCCTTCCATCCCAAACTATTCTATGATTCTATGATCTTTGTGAGAGATCAGACCATGTCTACAGCATGGAGAGACCAACTGGGTCTCTCCCCACTCACTACAAGAGCATATGTGTTGATAACATGTTGTTGACTTTTGTGGGTTTTTTCCTCTATTTATGCATTTGAGGAGGGGCAAGGGATATGGCCTGGTAGGTGGTTCCTGGTCTGAAGCTCAAATCCCCTTGCCCTGGGCTGGACCTTGTGTTTGTATTATAGGTCCTTCAGCCATTAAATTTTTGTAGCAGAACAGCACTATGTGTTACGGAAATGAATGTATCTCTGTGTGGATCATGGTGAAATGCTGCCTGAGGAGGGAAAGCCCAAAAAAGCAGTTCATGTCTACCAGCACAGTATGTGGACTAAGCCTTGCCTGGCTGAGTGGATGTGGTGCAAGTCCTCACCTGTGGTGAAGGTGGTGGAGATGTAGCCGCTCCGCATGGCATTTTGGGCAGCTTGCAGGCGCACCGTGTACTCTGTGGTCTCGGAAAGCCCCTCCAGGCGGATCCACGTGTCCTCGGCATCCACAATCAGCTCCTGTACATGGGTCCCAGAAGGAGGTAGACACCAAGAGCAATAGATAAGAAAAGCGATGGGGAGCCTAAAGAGCAAGCGAGGAGGGAAGGGAAGCCACAAACTACTGCAGCCCTTGGTACCTGGCTGAGGAGTGTTACATGTCTGGTAACACCCCTGGACTAAGTCAACGTGAGGTCAATGAAAAAACTCAGCCTTTTGGGATGGTTCAGGTGGGAGAAAGCTAGCTGGTTTGGACACAGGATTTAAATATTTGCAGTCTGTGTGCTCTGTTTACCAACTCTGTTGGGATCTGCGTGCCCTCGATACAGGGCATGACAGATTGCCCATGCATTGCAAGGAGTAGAGCTCGCCAAACCTGGTTATCAGCCAGTTTTGACTCCGTCAATTCCTGTCACGTTAATTTTTCTGGTCATCAGCCAATACCACTTTGATATAGCATTATATCAAACCCCTTCTGCAAAGCTATTATCCTCTGGCCTCTGTGAGCCAGTCACACCTGCAAAGGAAACAAGACTATTTGTGGTGACGTATTTCTGATAGCGTTTGTAGCAGCTCTTCCAGACAGGCAGATATGCACACACTCATTAAATAATCAAATATATTGTACTGCAGGATTAATTAGCTGTCTGTACCTATCTTCCTTTTTGCAAGAAGGGCAAATGGCATTTTTAGCATCTCTGTTCATAGGATAACTTTCTTCTGCCTCAGCTTGCTTGTGTTTCATGAGTTGTGAATTTCCCTTGTTCTCCCAAAATTTCTAGGCATGCCCTCTGTGCCCAGACCTGCAGGTGTGCATAAAGATTTTACCCTAGGCAATCTTTTCCTGTGTTTTCCAATTGTTTATTTAAAGTATTTCTCATGCAGAAAGTAGCGTCTGCCCTTCTGGTCTCTCCCTGACCTAGTGAGCATTGTTCTTTTGCTTTATTGGGTTTCTCCTGCTCATTTCTCCATGGTCATGTTATTCCCTGACTTCATGAGCCTCTTTCTTTTTGAGTACTCACCTTCCGGCTGCCATCGGTGGATCTGTAGGTCATGACGTAGTTCTCGATCTCTCCCATGGGAGGCACCCAGGAGAGCAGGGCGCTCCGTCGAGTGACTTCACTTGCGGTCAGATTTGTTGGAGGATCCAAAACTGCAAGGGTGGATAGGGACCCAAGGAAGTGCAAGTTCTCATGCACAACCACCCCATCCCTGCTTCCCAACTCAATACACTGGGATTCAACCTCGCAACCCTGAGCTACAGCCCAAAGTCCGTCCTCGCCCTCAATTTCCAGACCTCATCACCTATCCCCAGCCTTGAACAGAATTCTGCAAACCCTCTAAAAGTCTTCCTCTGCCTGCATACTCTCTGAAGGGTAATGGCTCTGAAATTCATGTGCTATGGGGTCTGTCAAGCTTCTTGTAAGCAAAATGGGTTGTAGTGCTCTTCTGGACTATGGCCTTGGGCAAGAAAAAGACCTGAACAAGGGTCATCTTGGGAAACCACATGCACATGAAATCAAAGGGGGTGGCACGTGAAATCAAAGGGGGTGGATGGATGTTGAAAGAGTGAAAATGATGGTTTATGCTTGTTGTGATTAAAATTCTGTTCTTGTGTTGTGACCAACACTGGTATTTGGTGTCCTTTTGGCACATGGCAACTTCTACACCCACATATATGTGAAAAGAGCTTTGACTCAGCCTTGCTGGCTGCTTTTCCTGGGGTGGATGTATGGCTAAGGGCGTGTAACAGACAGCGGGGGAGGTGATTGTACGTACGAGTTGTAAAGTTGGTGCTGATGGTCTGGCTGGTGAGAGGACCATTGGTGGCATACATAGAGACTGTGTAGGTGGTACTGGGCAAGAGGTTGGTCAGCTGGTACTCCTGGTTCATTCCATCCACAAGAATTGTTTCTCCTGCAACTGTAAACCAAAAGAGATGGCTTAGGGTAGGTATTCAAGGTGGTTCTCCAAAATGTGTCTATGGATATGATCTTGTGATCAAAAGCACTTATACTGCTGAAACATCATGAGCTATTGTGTGGCAGCTGAGCTGTAGTGGTGGTGTTTGGTCTGAAGGATGGTCTTATTTTTCCCACAGTCCCTATATTTGCCTGATGCTTTCTTTCCTTTCAGTAGTGGGCTTCATGGAGTTTGTTACACATTGAATTTCTGTGGGATGGGTACTTGCCCCTGGGCTGCTGCTGGTGGGCCAGTTAGTAAAGCGGGAGGATCCCAGTCCCCTCCTGTGTAGACTGCTGTGTTCTGAGGCTTGGTGAGGGCCACTGCTATTGGACCTGTGTGGGAGGGGCTGGCATCTGGGGACAGGGTACAGCCCTGCCGCCTGCCAGCTGCTGCCCTCCTGAAGCAAGGGCTCCTTCTGTACTCCCTCCATGGAAGGCACCCACTGAGCCCCAGGCTTTGGGATGGGGGAGAGGTAGAGGTGAACTGAAATGGAGCCCCAGCAAAGCTCATGGCAGAGGGGCACAGGGTTTTGGTGTACCTGCATGGCGGGTAAGAACGAAGACGTAGCTCTCCACTTCTGACAGTGGTGGGTTCCACTGCAACAGCGCCTCAGTGGGGGTGACGTTGGTGGCTGTGACCTCCAAGGGGGCATCCATAGCTGCATGGGGGACAGAGTCAGAGAGTCAGAGGCATTAAGAGACCGGGCTATGAACTGGAAGTCCTTCTTGTGACCCATCCCTTGTGGTCTTGCCTTGCTGCCCAGGCACATGTGCCTGCAGAGGAGTTATTCCTGCCCTAGCTGGAGAGCAGAGATGTCATAGCTTGTGCTAGTCCGCTACCTGGTCTGCTCTTCCACTGTTTTCCTGATGCACAGCCTGGGATGTTAGGGGTTTTTTTAGGTTTTGAGGAGTCGGGATAGCAGAGGGTTTTATTCTTGCAGCAGATGCTGTTTGTGTCAGGGTTTCCCCAGGGATTATTTCTGGAAGTCTGTACTCCCTTTAGGAAAGGTTGTCATGGTTGCCCAGCGTCATATCTCTGGCTTCCCTGTGCCCAGTACACAGATTTGTCACTCCCCCCCATGACTACCTATGCATATATGGGAAAAGCTTTGCTTAGACATACTTCAAAAGTCCACATTGGGCCCTTGTGAGCCTTGGTCATCATCTTGAGCTTGCATCAGCCTGCTGTGAGGTTCAGCTTGCCCTCAACTTCTTGATTGCTAGTGCAAGCAGGGGCTGCCAGCCCTTCCCAGGGCTGGATCTGGCATTGTTTGATTGCTATCTGCCCACCAGGAGCTCCTTCCCACCTGTGTGCACGGTGATGGAGGCCACCTCGCTCTCCTCCCGGCCCCGCATGCTCTTCACCCCAATCTCGTACTTGGTGGCGGGCTGCAGGTGGTGGAGGGCATACTCGGTGGCATCGCTGGCAATGGCGGTGCTGTCTGTCCTTCCTGCAGGGATGGAGCCAAGAGCTTTGGCATCACGGCTGGCCCCATCCCTGGGGTACAGGAGGTGCTTGGGAGGGGAGGGTAATGCCACAAGCCCTCTCCAGGACTGATACTGGGGGTAACTGGGTTTTGTGCCTGCAGGTGCACACCTGCATGCCCATCACTCTGCTGGCTCAACCTTTCCAGCATCATAGGCAAAACTGGGGCCAAGGGAGATGAGCTGGAGTAAGCAGGTGAGGGAGGTGGGATTTCAGGATTGGGCCCTGAATTATCCATTCCCAGGGGGGCAGGCTGCAGGGGGTCACTCCCTGTGCCCCTCTGTGCTGAGCTGGCCCTTGGCTGCAGTGGTCCCTTCCCATCCTCATCCCAGACACCCTGGCCGCCATCCCTGCAGCGTCTTGGTCCATCCCAGCTATCGGTGGCTTTTCCCGGGGCACTGTGATGCTGCCTGGGGTGAGGATGACCTGGTGGCTTGCTCACACCTGCAGATGGAGGGCGGGTTGGCAGCTGCAAGCTCAGGGCATGAGCAAGAGTGGTCTGACCCATTACCTTCAGCAGCACGGTAGGATATTCTATAGTGGTCAAAGGCAGCAATGGGAGGGCTCCAGTAGACTATCATGGACTCTTGGGTGATGTTGCCCACCCTGAGGTCCTTCGGTGCATCAATCCCTGGTGAGACAGAGCAGAAACCAAAGCTGTGGGAGGCAGGTCCGCTCCCCGTCCCCCTGCCTGCCCTCCTGGCAGGGTCCCATGCCTGGCATGGGGGTCCCATGGTACCTGTCGTGATGGAGCCCATGACAGGCTCGGAGCTGACGGCGCCGTGCACGGCCACCAGTGACACCAGGTACTCAGTGGATGGCTGCAAGCCCATCAGGCTGGCGTGCCTGCGGGTGCCATCGAGCATGAGCTGCTGCGCCTCCTCTTCATCCCGGGGGCTGTAGGTGAGGATGAGGCGGTCTGCTGGTGGGGATGGATCACTCCACGTGACATTCACACTGGAGGATGTCAGCTGGGAGAAGTGGAGCTGTGTGATGGGCCGGACCCCTGCAAAATGGAGAGGGGAGACGTAAGCCCGACCGTCTGCAGATCCCGGCCTCCGCGTTGTTCCCAGCAGTTGTATGGGAAATACCCAACAGAGGTGGCAAAGCTGCAGCTCTGCACTCCCCGTTGATCTGAAACTGTGCTGGGATTGAGAGGCAGAACTGGGAGGAGAAAAATGGTGCTTTTCTCAGCTCTGCCTGCAAACACACTCCATCCCAGACCCATATGGTGAGTAATGAGGCTGTCCCACTACAGATGGTATGTGCTGTCTGGGTTTCTTGACTGCAGGCTTTTCATCCAGAGGTGCTTGTGGGGTCCCTCAAGGCTTGGATTTTCCTTCTTATGGACAAACAGACCACCCTGATCACAGAGGACAGCATGGGCTGGCTGATCCCCCAACCCTGCCTCTTCCGTATGGGAGCCTCCAGACAAGAAAGTGTGCTCAGTGCTGCTGGCCAGGGGGATGGGATCCCCATGCTGGTAGGGCCATCCTCCTTCTGAGGTCCACAGACCTGCTTCCACGTGGATGGATTGCCCCTGTCACTGCCTCAAGAGTTTTGGTGCTGAGAATATGGTGGGCTGGTGGAGGTACCGGTGTGGGGTGGTGGTCTGTGCCCTCGGCCCCATCCCAGCTTGTCTTTCTCTACCTGTGAAGGCATCCACGGTGGCCTCCAGGCTCTGCTGGCGTCCCCTCTCTGCGATGATGGAGATGGTGTACTCTGTCCCAGGCTCCAGCTCCGAGAGGGTGAGCTGTGACTTGTCCTGGGGCACCGTCACTTCGGAGGCCATCCCTGAGGCAGGGGTGAAGGTGACACGGTAGTGATCGATGGGACCTGTGGCTTTGGTCCAGGTCAGTGAGATGGACGTGTCCGTGGAGGCTGTCACCAGGAGGTTCCGGGGGCTGTCAAGCTCTGTGAGAGAGGATTGGTGCAGACCTTTGTCCCCATGCACGGATTGTCCCATGGGGACATCTGAGCCATAGGAGCCAGCTGTGCTTGGAGCATGCAACGGGACCAAACTCACCTGTCCTGGCGTTCATGGTTGCTGGCACGCTCTGCTGGCTGTCCATCACAGCCGAAATCCCAATGCCGTACTCTGTCCCTGGCACCAGATCTGCCGGGGAGTGCAAAGGACACGAAGGGGTGTGAGAGCAGCACCTGGCTGGGTGGCTTTGGGGTGTGACCCCCTACATCCCATGGCTGGGGACAGGGGTGACCCTCCTGAGCATCCCTGGGGTGAGCAGCCCTCCCACAGGTCACCAGTTCCTCTGAGCATTGGAGAAGAGCTGAGCCTTTTTTAAAAGCCCCGTGGATGCCTTTGGACAGGGAATTTGGGTTATTCTAGCTCAGAAATAAGCAATTTTAAAAAGTCGTTGCTGAGGTCTGCTGTAATTGCTGGCATCAAGACAGAAATTTTGTGTGTGAGCTGAGATGGGAACGATAAAGTAGCTATATTTGTTTCCAAATTGATTCAACATCAAATATTGTCACAGGGCTGGTGTCTTGAAGAGAAATAAATTATGCAGAGTAAATGAAATGCACATTAATTAGGAAAGGCACAGTCTTTCTGGGAGCCAAATCAAGAGCCGCTCCTTGGGGTGAAGGTATCCTGCGGTGCCTCTCTCAAGGGACAGGGGAATAGAGCTCACCCAGCTCCTTTCCTGCACACCTACTGCTGTTTGCTGTTTTATCTCCATGGGACATCTCCTGCCTCTGCCTGTCACTTCTGCTTGACTGCTGATGGCTTTATTCCCCTCCTCCCTGCGCTTCATGATCTTTCCCATGGGGTTAGAGAAAGCCATAAACCCTCCAGCCTGGCCTCACCCTGCCTTGCCCAGGGGCAGCATTCCCTGAAGCCACCAAAACCTTCCCTGAGAGGACAGGAGGGAGGGAAACCCCCATCCCCTGCTCCTCTCCTCTTGCTACGGTGCAGTCTTGGCGCTGGGGGGCAGATGGACCCCCTTCACCCCTGCCCAGTAAGTGTCAGAAATATCCTGGAAAGGAGGAAAAGAGCCTGGGAGAAAGGGGGAGTAGAAGGAAGAAATGAGCAGGAGCATATAAAACGATGCCTTTTCTCTCCCAGCTTTTTTGGGTAGACCAAAATTACGGATATTTCTGTGCAAATGCTGATTTTGAAGAGACACATATGGGGCAGGGCAAGGCTTGCTGTATTTTTAAGCTTAAATCTTTGAAAAGCTCTGCTCAGCGCTGTTCCTCACTGCTTTTCCTGCAGGTAGATGAAGGTAGCTGAAGGTAGCTGAAGGACTCACAGGTTGCATTTACACTGTGGATCCCACCAGGTTCTGGTGGCTGGAAACCCACCCCAACAGCCTTTGCACCACATGCAACAAGACCTTGGAGGACAGGGCTACCACATGCATAATGGAGCTATGGGAGAAACTCATGTGCCATCCACACTATGGCTACCCCAGATATTTTTTGCTAGCAGAATGCTTTTAGGTTATTTTCTGATATAAATAGATTTTTTTAAAAAAATGTTTATTACACAGGACCCTGGGAGCTAGAAGCAATGCACTTAAGTGATGATGGAGGCACTATATAAAAATCACTCACCGTGATCGACTTAAGCCTCTATATCTCTGGAGCTTGCTCTGGGGGCGTTTCTTGTAGCCCAGCCTGAATCTGACAGCAGCCAGGCAGCACTGGTGCTGTCAGGTAGAGACTTGGCAGCTTTTTTTATTTTTATTGAGAGAAAAGAGAGCCTTCATGCTGCCTCTTCCTCCAAGGCAAGCTCGCGCTCTGCCATGGGTGTCATCACAGTTTAGATCACTGGGGTAGTATTGCACCTCTGCCCCAGGGAGGAGGATTTGGCCCATTTTTAATGCTCCTTCTCACGTAGAAAGGCAGTAAATGCCTACAGGAGTGCTAGCAGGGGACCAGCACTGGGTCTGTGATCCCTTGCTGTCCCCCTCCATCTCATCCTGCTTCTCCATGTGCATCCTCATCACAAATGCAGCAGAAACTATCTGTAGCATTTCTTTTTTCCGCGTACCACATTTTTCAAGCTAACTGCTCTAATTGCTTTCCTGACCTCCAGCCTTTCTCATGACTCTGTGCCGCTGTGCCTGTAACTTGGCATTAGACTTTCCCACTGAACTTATTCCTATAGGTCCATATGGCAGAGATGCTAGAGCCCTCTTTGGGGTGGGGGGGTCCCAGGAGGGCAAAGAGCGTCAACGTGGAAGAACATGGTGTCCTGTCATATTGAAGAGCTTCAAACTGAATGAGTGATCTTTTTTTTGTGTGTCTAAGTAAGTCCTTTCTTTGCTCAAAAAAACGCCACCGGAGCTGCAAATCTGGCAGGCAAGCAGTTGTAGTTGAAAAAAAGGAAACCAGATCTCACATGGTGCTTTGTGGTGTTACTGCAAAGGGCATTTGGGACTTTCCTGGCAGCAGGAGGTGGGTGGTGTTTGCAGCCCCTGGTGGCACCCCCTGTGCTGGCCTGAATAACGTAATGCTTGAGGGTCTTGCTCAAAAATAGCATCCCTGCATTCGGGTCTGCTTTGTGCCTGATTTGGAAAAAGGCAACAAACTTGGGCAGCCTGGATCCCCATCGCTGCCTATGGGGCATCAGCGCCTGCGGCTCTTTCCCAGCAAGGAAAAAAAAGGTCAAAAAAATATTTTCCTCTAGATCAGCCTAAAAAGCCTTCCTCTCCCCATTTCTTACTGTGCTCCTTGCCAGCTCTATTTGGGACCTGGACAGACCCTTGCTGGAGGTGCATCACTCAGCTCATAGATAAGCAGTGCCCAAATCCAGACCCACAAAGGGGAAAACGAGATTCATCCCAAGGAAAACCTTCTCTCCAGTAACTAGTAAACTCCAAAAGAGCCTCAAATGTGTGCCAGCATGAGGGCAAAGGAGCATCGGTGCTGATTTGGGCTCTCCATTGCCCTACCTGCTTGCGAGGAGGAGGAGGAAGAGAAGGGAGAGGAAGGGCACATGGGTGCACACATACCTGCAAGGGTGGCCCGGGTGGTGGGACCAGTGTCCCGCGGCACCAGGACTTCATGGTAGTGCTCCCCAGCCAGGGTGCTGTAGACCACCCTGTAGCTGTGCGCCTCGGCCTCGCTGTTGTCCCAGGCGAGCTCGAGGCTGGCAGGTGTCCGCGAGCCCACCCGCAGGTTCTTGGGGGCATCGATCTCTGCGCGACACAAGGGAGAGAGGCTCCGTCTCACTGCTGGGCACTGGGAATGCACCCTGTAGCCTTGGCACAGCTGAACGGTAGCGGAGGGATACCCAGGTGTGATGTCCATGAGGTCCCACATGTGGTCCCTCGTTGCCGGAGCATGTCCCTGCAGAAAGGGCTGGGGCATCTGCTCTCACCTCCTGCTCAGCATAGACCCGGAGATACCACCCATGAGACTGACACGAGCGCTGGGGCATTCACAGCATCCCTCAGTAAGTTGCTTTGGCAGCTAATTGCATGTTATTTGAAAAAGAAAAGCGTTTTCCCCCTATATTAGAGTAAGGGAAACTGAGGCAGTGTGCATAAGAGAAAAAGGGCTCTGTAGCAGTCACGCATTGGCTTGAACTGCTCTTAGAAGACCTCGAGCATCCTTACAGGCTCATTCACTCTCAGACGTTGCCCAAAGGGTTTGTTTATTAGTGCTGCTGGGGCTGTGCAGTGAATCTGCTCTGGTTTGCATGATAAACCTCTCTGGTGAGCGACAGGTTGGTGCTGGGCAGGGGCTGGGTGGCAGCAGACAGCAGGTAATTACTGCTCCTTGATGGATCTGGGTTTAGGGGGGGGACTTTTTATGTTGCCTCTTAGAAATAAAGCAAGGAAGGACAACACAACAAATCAGTTGGGGTGAACATCTCGTCCAAAATATATATCTATAGAGATATATATACACACAATTCACACACTGCAGTTATTGTAATAGGAGCCTAGTATCCACCAGTAACGTACATGACAGGTAATTTATGTACCATAAACCAGCACTGAAATATTCGTTCTACCTCCTCCTTTATGGCACGGTAAATTAAACCTGTTAGCTATCTGCAGGCTTAACATTAATTAAAGTTTTACCGACCAGTTAGGGTATTCAGAAAAGATAGAAGATAACCACATTTCTGACTGGGCTGCTTTCAGCTGCTTGACTGCTGATTCCTCGGGCAATGCATCTGCCTTGGCTCTCGATGCTGAATGGGAGCGAGCATTGTCTTAAATTCAGACCTGTGCTTGCTGTTTTGGTGCTTTTGAGAATTGTACATTGATCTACGGGTGCTATTAAGGGTGTAAACTGCTGTGTTTTAAAGTTTTAGTCGTGGGCTCAAGCTAAGCTGTGCATCTGAACAGGTGTTGAAGGTGGTGGGGACGTGTGTCACAGGCAGCAGCAGGTTCAGCCTTGATGCTGCAGCAGGATGTGGCCAAGGTGGGGTTTGCTCAGGGGTTGTCATCGAAATGCAGGTTTTTGAGTGATCTGCCTGGTCGCTGGCATCTGGGGTCACCTGGGGTGCCCTGGGGACCATGCGAGCATGCCCGTGGGGCACAGGGCATGGTGGAGACCCATTGCACTGGAGGTTTAGGGACTAAACAGAAATGTAGGCACTAGTGGACAGGGGTCAGACGGTGGTGTGAACTGTGCATGGTGTTTTAGGGTGAGCTGAATCATTTGCTCTGCCTTGCTCTGCACCAGGATCATGACGGGATGCGAGACGCCTGCATTCAGGCATCTTCATTCGGGCCTGCCTCTTAACCATCATGTTTTCATTTCACTGCTTCCTCCCAGTACACCAGATTAAACCCCAGCTCACTTGTGCTGGGGGAAAACCAGGTACCACTAAATCCCAGGTGCAAAAAACCCTTAATTCGGCTCTGGATATGCAAAACCCCATGCTCAACCCAGGACAGCCCATCTGCAGATTGCAGCAAGCCATCTGCCCATGCTTGCTGGAGGCTTAAAAATTCATGCTGGTTCTCCCAGCAAAGCCAGTTAGCTACCTGTGGTGAACTGGGCGAGGGCTGGCCGGCTCTCGTTGGCACCCCGGAGGGCACTGACGGCGAGGTGGTAGCGGGCGCCGGGGCGCAGGGCCTGCAGGGAGTACTGGCTGAGGGGGGGCTGCAGGCGGAAGGTGGTCCTCCCCCCCTCCCCATCCGCCAGCCCGTACTTCAGCAAGATGGCGTCCT